CAGAGAGACACACAAGATCTAAGAGAGTTTTTGCAAGAGCAGAATTCACAAATTTCCCCCTCAGCAATATCACATAGGTACGCATCCCCTCCATCACTGAAAGCTTCCTGCACATCAAGGCTCCCATAGGCATAAAGAACACAGCATTTTCAAGCTCCTCAGCTCGAACTGTCGTTTAAGTGATTGGTATCAGATGGTATGGCTACAGGAACAAATTACTTGGAGGTAAGCTGGGGGTGTGGATTTGTACTACATTAGCTACTTTGTGATAAGTACCTTTGTGTACGCTCTCACAGCAAAGTATGTACAAGGTGGATTGCCCCACTCTCAGTGGCCTTGCACTAACTTGTTTGAGTAACCATATCCACATAAATTTCTTGGCCTAGGGCCATAAGCAGGGAGTATGTTAAGACAGATCCAACACTTTCTATGTAGAGAGTTCATAAGGCACCTCCTGCTTACGCAGCTACGTATGCTTGCTGGTGCACTTCTTCTTTTTCCTCCTTTCCACTTCAGAAGCAGAAATGCAACCAACCCTCTACACTAGAATCTGCCAAAGAAATGCAGCCTACACATCACCTGACCTAGCCAAACTCTACCCAGAAACACCTAACCTCACATACGCTTCAGGGCACAGGAGATACAACAACCAGGACTCTGGAGTCAGGCTTTGGATAAGAACTTGTCTCTATTCTTACTTTCCAGGCAACGGTTGGTTTTTCTGAACACTCCCAGAAGTCTGCCGTGGTCAAATTAGGCGCTTCACAGTTGCGGGTAAATTAGAATTACCTCTCCAAATTACGATACATAGCATGGGCATTGTCACATATGACAAAAGGGATTTCAGCTAGACACCAGGAGTCAACAAATCCCCGAGACAAAAACAGCAGTGTGTGAGATGGAAAGACATAGTCTGGCCTCACACCTGCTTCAAAGACGAGCTGCTGACCCAGCTTAGGTACAAAGAGATTTGGGCTTACCTGGTGCGTGAGCGCACGCTCGTGACAGAGGAACTTGTGGAATGGCCAGAGCCGCCAGCGGCCCCAGGTTCACAGAGAGGATTTCGGCAGTAGGATGTCCGGTTAGGGCCCCGCCTTCCCCCTGCCATAACAACAAAGGGTACGGAGGGCTGTTCCTCAAGGTGGCTTCTCTGCTCTTCACTGCGTGATTATTTATTCAGTCCTTAAAACTGGAAAGAAAAGATTTATAATTATGGCTTATCTGCTTACCACACACCTGCTGACCAGCGAAGACTGGCCAGTCGCACTGTTAGCTTGCAGCAAAAAGCAGAATAATGCAGCTTTGCTCAACTCTTTCCACTGTGAGCTAAGCTAAGCTAAGCTAAGCTACAACTCCTCCTGTATTTGCCACAGGCTATAGACATGGCCTCAGATAGTTACTGACGCTCCTAAGACATGCGGTGGCTTGTTAAGGTGCTATGAATTGTTTGAGAGTCTAAAGCCTAACGTACGCAGGCTTCGAACAAGCAGGAAGAAGCTCTTCGTGCTTCTCTCCCAACCCAAGGCAATTTACAAGGAATTTAATCTGCATCCCTGCGGTGTTATGCCTATTTCATAGGCAGAGCAATACACTTACAGAGATGTTAAACAATTTGCCCAAAGGAGTCAATAAACTGGGGATATTTTCTAGGTCCCCTTTTGCCCAATTGTGTGCTGGAATCAAAAATTCACAGCTCTTTTAAAGAGCTGCAAAAAGCAAGCAAGTTGGCTCTCACCTCCTTTGCTCCTTTACGGTGGGAAAAAATACTGTAGCATTTTTAGGGCATTTGTTGTTGTTGTGTGTATGGCGCAGAGCTCAATGGCACATTAGCCCAAAGTTAGATTTTCCAAGTCTTGCTTGCCACAGTGTAAACAACAACAATAATCCCAAAGTTTTAAAAACTTCTGTGTTCTTATGTATAAGAAATCTGGGTCCTGTTTACATTAGAAGCTATACAGCTTAGAGAAAGACTAGGATGATAGTATACCATTTACTAGAAGTGAATCAGGCCACATCAACTGCTTGAAATTCCTTCGTTTGTTAATTTCCAGTCTGCATCACTTGGCAATTAGCATCTAGAATGAAGAAACTTTGCTAAAGGTTTAAAACTGCCCTCAAACAACTTTTAAAGCTTTCACTAAGCTCCAGAGCCCCCCCAATAAACCGTCATGCTAGTCCTGGACAAGGAGGGGCAGGATGCACCTGGGGCTAAAACCAAGAGAAAAGAAGATACCTCCAGAGATGGGTGCCATCGCACAAGCCAGTGGGGCACAAAGGTGCCTATAGCATAGGGGGAAGGAAGAAATGCAGGGGTTACAGAGCAAATGAAGGGCAGAAACCCAAGTATGTAGCACGGGACAGCAAAGTCCTTGGGAGCCAGGGACATGGAGCAACCGCAAGTGACACCGGGGAACAGGAGGGGCTGTGCACAGGGAACCCCATGAGACAGGACAGGGGGACTGTGTGAGAGGCACCAGGTGGACAGGACACTGCTGGGGAAGGCGAAGGCAGTGGGTTTGGGGCCCAGAGCACCACAGCATGAGAGCCTGAGCAGGAAAAGTCATGGGGCGACATGGGTGTGGGGAGGAGAGCCGGGGAGCAGAGGGGAGCTGCTGGGGAGCACACTTTGGGCCTACAGAGGCTGTAGGGGCTCTAGGAGCTCAGACAGGGGCTCTGAGGGAGCACTGGGAGCTCTGAGGGCATAGACCAGGGTCTACAGGGAAGTAAACAGGGGCCACAGAAGCTCTGGGGCAGGCAGAGGCTATAGGGGACAAATGGGAATTCTGGGGGCACAGGTGAGGACTATGAGAAAGGTATGGGGGCTCTAAGGGAGCAGCAACAGCTGTAAGAGCTCTAGGGGTATAGACTAGTGCTATAATGGAGCAACGGGGGCTATAGGGGCGATAAGGGCTCTGTAGCTGCAGGCCAAGGCTACCTATAGCGGAGCTGTGGGGGCTCTGGATACTGTAGGGGAGCAACGAGAGCCACAGGAGCGCTACGGGGGCTGCAGGAACACAGACCAGTGCTAGAGGGGAGCAAAGGGGGCTCGGGGGACTCTGTAGGAACTGTAAGAATGCTATAGGGGGCTATCAGGAACTGTGGAGATTATAGGGGTGCTATAGGGGCTGCAGGAACGCAGGCCGGAGCTCGAGGGGGGGGAACTTTATCGGGGCTGTAAGGGCAATAGGGGCTCTAGGAGCGCTATAGAGGCTATAGGAGAGCAGCGGAGGCTGTGGCGGGGCCGCAAGGGAGCTGTGGGGCGCGCCCCGGGGGCT